ACCAACAAAACTAGCAGAGCTTGAAGACGATGACAATCCTCAATCGAGTGAACTATGGTGTATAGCTTAAGATCATCTGCATAAACGAGACTGCATTTAACTCCCAACAAAGCTGCTACATCGTTGAAGAATAACGTAAACAAAAGTGGACCCACGTTACTTCCCTGACGTAGAAGAGACAGAAGATCCTAGTCGTACTCGAAGAGTTTGTCCAGTCAAGTAGGAATGTAACCACGACCTAAGTTGCTCAGACGCTCCTAGTCGGGAAAGCTTGCATGACAAAACCTTCTGGTCGATTTTGTCGAATGCGACTTCCAGATCAGTATATATGACGTCGACTTGTGCGTTATCCTCCATCGCGGTGAAGCATGTACTGGTGAAATACAAAAGGTTAGTAGCTACCTATCTACCGGGAATAAATCCATGCTGGTCAGTTGAAATGTAGTTCTTCGAGCGATTCAGGAAAAAAATCGCTCAAGATGATCACAAACAGTTTTGACGTTGCCGAAAGATTGGTGATTCCTCGATAGTTCTTATTATCCCATTTATTGCCAGCTTTTAAAACAGGAAACATATACGACTGCTTCCACAATGTTGGGAATTTTCCTTGTTCCAAGGATGCATTAAATATGGCTGCTAAAGGTTCTGCTAAGGCAGCTGAGCAACCACTGCCGGAATTTCATCTGGACCAGGAGAGAGTGAGGTTTTCAGTCTCCTTGCTGCTGAAAGTACCGAGTTACTTCGAGTGTGCTCAGTTCCACTAAGTCACTAGGCGTATCAGAGGCAACATATTCAGCTTCAACGTTACTTGTCATATTTTTATCGAAGACAGATGCAAAGTGTTTAGCAAACATCTCACACCCTTCGCTAAGAGAAGTGGACTCTTTCCCATCGAGTAGCATGTTGGACGGTATACTCGAATCTTTCCTTTTGCTGTTGACAAAGCTCCAAAAATTTCGGGGGTTACGCCGCAAATTCCACTGGACTCTGAGGACGTGTGATTTGTACAAGGCACTGCTAAGTTTAGTGTAAGCGATACTGGCACGCCTGAAGTCACGCTTCGTGTCAGCTGTTCTGGGACGATGTAGTTTTCTCTTGACTGCGTTACGCTCACGCTTCAGCACTCTAAGCTGAGGAGTACTCCAAGCTGGGAAAATTGCAACCAATGTTGAATAATGCTACAGTCATATCATCAACATCAATGCATTCAAGCACATCGGCCCAATCTTGATCAAAAAGATACTGCAATAATGAGATATATTCAATTTTCTTGAAGTCTAGAAGCTCATCCACGTTGCCAGCTGGGTGAGATGGCCAGTCAAGTGGAGCAGGTAGCGACAGAATTAAGGAAGGATGGTGAGCATCATAAGGTAAAAGCAGCACAGCGGATTTATTTTTTTGTATTGTGTTGACTGAGATTAACGAAATCCATTCCATCAACGAGAGCAATGCTTGCAGTAGTCAGTGAAAATGTTTCGGTGAGGTAGACCCTGTTATCATCGATTCCTCACTGAAGACGAGGCTGATTATAATCGCCACAAACAAGAATCTTATCATCACAAGATGTCTTGTCGCACAACTCTTTGACTGAGGCAATATGCGCTTCCATAACTTCGATGTCGCGACTTCGGTCGGGTGGGATGTCTATAGCCATGTAAGTCCAGTGATACACAGACTTGTTCCAGTCCAGTACCGTGTCTGACATTCGTTGCGTCACAGCTATCATCACGCCACCAAAGCATGTTTTATCACTGTGGCGTAAGTTGCGATCACAGCGAAACACGTTGTAGCCAAGTCCAAAAATCTGAGTCGAATTGATGCTATCGTCAAGTCCGGTTTCAATCAAGATGCTAACGTCATACTCGCAATCAGCAGCAACCAGGAATAGATCATCAAGTTTTGTCCGAATACCTCACACAGATCCGATTTTCAGTCGAACCAGCCGGTTGTTGCTCTTGAGGCGGTGAGGCGCTGAAAGCAACGGACGAATCAGGAGCGGAACTGGTGATGATACGAACATACTAGCCTTGAGTTGCGGGTTGAGATACCCTTTCTCCAAGCCCACATACAGGTCCAGCACGACTGCAGGACGATGACTAGATTAACTCGACTGTGGCGAGAGAAGAAGGGGCTTCCGTAGTGCCTAAATTCAATAAGTCCTAGAGCCAGAGTGTTCAGTGTTTATTGAAGACGAATTAAGAGTGAATTTAAAGAGTTTTCCGGAAGGAATTCCATAAGTGTTCTGCACAGAATTCCGAGACAGTTAAGATGTGGCCCATTTGGAATTGGAACATACACAATTGGGTTCTTTAAGGTTATTGAGGTAAATGCATATTCGTAATCTGCATGTCAAATGGAACCGAATTCCAACATTTCATCAATTTTGGTACACTGGAACTATTTTAAATAACTACGATTACATTCGAAAAAAATCGCCATTTTAGCGCCCCTCGGTGGGACTTTATATGTGAGCGAGCTGTCAATTTGTTAGTTTAGTGTCAAACAGTGAATTTATGACTTTGCTTTAAATTTTGTTTAAAAAATCATGATGAAAGACTATGCACTCGAAAAAATATTCTTGTAGTCAGAAATCGAAGTTCTTTCCGATAGTGTAAAATTTGATATTTGTTTTCAAAATTAAAGAGGCCAATTGCGCATATTTCGGATATAGATTAACATAGTAGAAACCTGTTTCAACTTAAATGTTGGATTTTATGTGTTCTTTAAAGGAACAATACAAAAAAATATTCAGACCGATTTCAAAGAAATTTTCGAACTTTTCCCGGAATACGGCTCATCAACTGGCGCGCAGCATTCTCATCCATCGTTTTGGCAAACTTATTTCACTTGGTTTTCAATTTATTGATGTTTTTGATGACACTGCCATTCACCTTTAGCTTCCTCTTCATAATAGCCCCAAATCTCTCTATCGGTCTGAGCTGGGGACAATTAGTTGGGTTGAGTTCTTTCGGAATAAACTGAATCCCGTTGATTACCACTTTAGCATAGTTTTACTGTAATGACAGCTCGCAAGATCTAGCCAAAACATGACAAGTTGCTGGGGTTGGATGAATGACAATATTCGTTCTTGGAGACATTCCGTCCCGTAAAGCTTTGAATTGAATGTCTACCGCAGCTACAGATGCCCTGCCAGATCATGTATTTGCGTGCAAATTTATCTGCAAACCCAAACTTGAATTTGGCATGTTGGTTCTCATTTTCCAACAAGGCTTCTTACCTCAAGCTCTATACTTACTTGTTCCACAGAACCTCTGAACTCGACCCACTAGGTCTTTGGAATGAACTCACAAGGTCGCTGGATTCATTAAACAAGGCCACAAATCCTCGCCGCCAACCGAAACCATCCCCCCCCCCTCTCCATTCCTTCGGGGACACTAACGTCGCCTGGTGGCACGTGTTCGAAAACGCATGCTTGTATGGCTACGCCCCGGAGCGTAGCCATTTTACTAAGCGCGAATCAAAACAAATGAACATTAATTCGCGCACCACGCCGCCATCACGAGAATCCTACTGGGATACGCTTCATGCAAGAAGGCGCGTTTGCCTCAAGTAGCGAGTGCGCCACGTGTCCGCCGGGTAGCGTTACAACCCTTTTCCTGGGAGGGCAACTGCTTCCGCCACCACAACAACAACAACAACAACAACTGAGCCGAACGTAGAATTCCGAGAGCAATAGCATTTTCCACGTTCATCGTCGCTGGTGTTGTACGTGTCTCTGTAGCAATCCAGGGAGGCGCAAGGAGTTTATAATCCCCCGTTTTTCTTCGAATAAGTTTAGGGAACCAGTCAGCAGAGTGGAGGCTTTAGTCGAGTAGTCGGAAACGATAGGAATGGCGATTAGGCTATAGTTTTAACCAGGTGTTGCACACTTTTTTCGCTGTCTGTTTCTCTGTCGGTGTGTCTGTGTATGTCAATTGTCAATTTTTGTCATTAACACTACTGTTTAGATAGAAACCCGAGAGACAGCTAATGAGATTGAGTTACTTACCGTCATGTTTCACACAATAGTCCCGTACTACAACTGTTTAGACAGCCATGCTTCTAGAGTAGACTATCTCGTAGTGCGCGTAGGGAGCCCATATTCGCCGCCAGGGGGAAGCAGAGATCAACGGGAAAAGTGCAATATGAACTGCGATCTTATGTTATATACAATTGCAACTGTTTGGACTCATTGCACCGGTTTTGTAAAGCAAAAATCCCTGAACGAAAACACCCCGCTTGTTTCCGTTTGTGTTTGGATCGCTTGAATACTATTTAATAATCAGCGTGATATCATCAACCGAATCGTGTAAATCAAAAACTGCTAGTTCTAAGTTTGTTTTAAGTTTAAGCCTAAAAGCTGAAAGACTTTGTTAAACAATATTATCTTCCTATGTTAGTGTTTAATTTTTTCTTGTGTGTAAACAATTTGTGATTTAGTTTATACCTGCACCATTTTCTATCTATGATCCACTTTAATCGGAAGGGAAAAGTGTTATATTATTTAATTTGCGTAAAAACGATCAACGTGCACAATGTTATTCCAGAACGAAAAAGTCACCCATGTTCGAGCTTATTATACATAGGTACCTACTTCGTTTCATATCATCCTTTGGTGCTTTGTTTCATTGTTATTGCTACACTGTTCATTCATTCCCAAGCGCTCCAATGGTCGCCAGTTGAAAATATATGCAATCACTCAGTTGCAAAGAACCAGACACACACACACATACACACTTAGAAAACGCATACCACACAAACCATAAACAAATTCTACTCATCTGCCAGTGCATTGTGTAAATTAAACGAAACATTATAGAGACTACTACAGTATAATAGAACTAGAAAGAAAGTGTCAGCAGTCTTATATATCATCGGTTCTGAATATAAGCTATTGATTAATATAATTAACAGTTTAGTTTTTCGTTGAGAAAGCAGAGACGGAGCAAGGCGACGACGAAGAAAAAAAAAAGATAAGGAAAATGGGTGTAGAGAAAGAGGTTTAAAAAATGATAAATTCTAGTCAAAAAAAGATGAAAAAAGATTAACCTAATAACTACTAAAAAAAGCAGAAACTGAAAAAATACATAGTGGCACGAAGAAATTACATGAAAGAAGACAAGCTGCAAGCAGATTCACACAACTCTTAAGATTAAACAAACAAAAAAACACATGGAAGAAAGAATCGCTAAGAATCAATAACTATACAGAAAAAGAGAAAAGGAAACAGATACAAAAATATATTAATACTGCTTATTCTGTAATTAAAAAAAAAACAGATCCAGCGGGCTGTGATATATTTGTTCTAGAACTGAGTGCCGAAAGCCATTTCATCCTAACGATTTATTCGAAGGATTCGCTCGCTGCTTGGCTAGCTTGTTTTTGGAGAGTGGTTTATCCTCCAGGGGTTTGATTGCATTGGTCATTTTGTACAGTAGCACCGCCGAGCTGGGATCGCAGAACGCCAGGATGACACTACGGTTGCCGTGCTTGTCGGTGCCGGTGGTCAGCTCGTTTTGGTAACGCTCCACGTCAGCCATGGGGACGTCCTGGAAGGACAGCACCGGAATGTAGACATCTTCGGCGGAATCTTCTTTCTGCTTGCGGGCCGTGAGATAGACGATGTCCATGTCCTTCTGGTAGTGGTACCGGACGTCCCAGAGGTGACGTTCTGTGCGGGAAATGATAGGAAGGGAAAGGAATTAAGGGTAGTTGTTTTCTTCAAAATTAATTGCTAAGCATTTCGCAGAGCAGACTAGCTGATTTATAATATTAGAGTGACTTTAAAAAACCTATATACTACACTGAAAAAAAAAGTTGTTGTATATTACATCCAAACTGCTGCAACCAGGTCAATCCATCGGTTGTGTAATATAACGTAATATAACAAAATTACATCCATTGATGTAATATTGTATCTGCTTGAATTACATTGATCGATATTACATTTTTTTTTTACTGTTTAGTTGGATTGAAAAGTCACCTCCTTGACCGCCAGAATGCGCTGCTACTGCAAAAAAGGTTATGTTGTACTCCGTTCATATTTAGGCAGACATGCCAAATTTCAGTGCGATACTCCCCCCTATTCTGCGAGTCACGTGACTCTCTCTCACCGGTGAGGTGACAATAGTCACCTCGTGTGAGGTGACTCTCCATTTGATTTGCATGGAGAGTCACCTCACACGAGGTGACAATTGTCACCTCACCGGTGAGAGGGAGTCACGTGACTCGCAGAATAAGGGGGACTGTCTTTAGTTTCGTTTTGACAGATGATTGTTGTTGACGTGTTTGGCATCTTGTTGAGTATGGATAAAAACGATTTTCGTTCTCTCATAAAACATTATTTTTTGAGAGGCAAAACGTTGAAGGAAACAAAAGAAAGTTGGATAAATATTATAAGGCTAATGCTCCGTCAGATTACACCGTCAAATATTGGTTTCGAGAGTTTCATAGTGGCCGCAACTCCACTACCGATCAAGTCCGCAGCGACAGGCCCTCCGATGTGGTTACAGAGGACAATGTCAAAAAAAAAAACATGAAATCAAGAGCAAATTTTCATTACGTCGAAAGTAACAAAGGTAAACAAAGTCGAGCTATCAGTGTCAATCGATGCTCCTGCTATTACACTATATACTGTCCGAATATTAGATCACATCCCATTTTTAAATTTATTTACCAGTCAAATTGCTTTTTGACGTAATCACCTTCCGATCAAAATAGTTTTCGTTGTTACTTAAGTCAGCCAATTTCTATGGAGATGCCGTTTGTCTTAAGTAACAGCGCTGAGAAACCCGTGAAAAGTGTACATTCGTCGTTTCGCTTTCTCATTATTAAAGTGAATAAATTGAACTGTTTGTTACTTAGATGATTTTCGGTGGTGATAATTCTCCCGAATATTCTGGTAAATATACTTTGACTTAAGTAACAATAGGGGCCATCAAAAGACGTATAATAACTTTTGACTCAAAAACCAGTATTTTTTAGCATGAAAGCTAGCGATTTGCAATTGTATGATTAAAACCCTGCTAGATATGTTAAACATTGCTATCACTATGAGATTATATGTGTTTAATTGGAAATAGGAATAACTTTTCGGTCATCAAAACAAAACTTTATTTTTCTCGGATTGGTGAGAATGTTACTTACGACATAATGAAAATTTGCTCTTGAATGGTGTTGGCTGACCGGAAAGTGACGGTGCGCGAGCTAGCAGATACCGCAAAGCTTAGTACTGAGCGCACACGCCATATTTGGGGTGATATTCTGCCTATGAAAAAAGTAATCCTACCGCTGGGTGCCGCGCAAGCTCACTCCTGACCAAAAACACGAACGCAAGTGCACTTCGAAGGACTTACTGATGCGGAATCGGGTGGACTTTTGGCGTCGATTGGTAACTGTTGATGAAACCTTGATCCACTATTACACCCCAGAGAACAGAATGAGTGCCCGGCAATGGACCGACTGACGTCGGTTTTCTGCGATTGTCATGGCATACTCTTCGTGGACAACATCGAAAAAGGAAAAACCATCAACAGCGAGTATTACAAACAATCAATACGAAACTATCGATTTTAAATTGGCTCACTACTTGACTAGCCTATTGGTCCCAAGCAAATCGATTAATGTACCCCATTCTAGTCGAAATTCTAGTACTACACAATGTTTGTTTTGAATCGCTATGAAAGTTTGGCAGATAAAATGAGGGATTAGTGGATTTCCTATGTTTCGAGGGGTGAATCGATTAGCTTGGGACCGAAGAGAGTACCAGAGCTGAGCCAAAAAGTTGAGCTCGTTTCTTCGGGACCTTCTGGTCTTAGAGTTACCTCTATGGTATAACCATAGAGGTAACTCTAAGACTAGAAGGTCCCGAAATAACGTGCTCAACTTTTTGGCTCAGCTCCTGTTCATAAACTACGTAGACAGTTTTTTGGGATTCTTGACCCCCCCCCCCCCCCTTCCCCTGCGTAGACAGTTATCCATACAAAATTTTTAAAATTTGTATGGGCCGTGGATAATTGTCAACCCCCCCCCCCCCCAAACTGTCTACGTAGTTTATGAACAGCCCCTCTGGTACTCTCTTCGGTCCCAAGGTAATCGATTCACCCCTCGAAAATCCAATAACCCCTCATTTTACCTGTCAAACTTTCATAGCGAATCAAAACAAACATAGTGTAGTACTGGAATTTATACTAGAATGGGGCACGTTAGTCGATGTGCTTGGGACCAATAGGCTAGTCAAGTAGTGAGCCAATTTAAAATCGTTAGTTTCGTATTGATTGTTAGTATTACCAACATTACCTCTATGGTATTACCATAGAGGTATCTCTAAGACCACTGGGTCCCGAAGAAAATCATTATTATTTTTGGCTCACTCAGTACCAGTGGTCTTAGAGTTACCTCTATGGTGATACTCTAAGGAAGCCTTAGCGTGAAACTTTAATGGCACAAGTGTCAGCTTCCACAAAACATACAAATTTGAAATTACTACTCTTTGTTTGCTGTGCTACTACAAACAGAGAGTAGCAATTTCAAATTAGTATGTTTTGTGGAAGCTGACATTTGTGCCTTTGAAGTTTCACGCTAAGGCTTCCTTAGAGTATCACCTTAAGGGAGCTTTGTAAAACTTCTTAGAAGTGGGAACTTGTGCACAAGTTTGAGAAACTTCATTTAAGTTAAGAAAACTTTGTTTAATTTCAGGAATCTTCATAAAAGTACCGGGACCTTCTTTTAACTTCGCGGCACTTCGTTTAAGATTAATGGGCTTGGAAAAGCGTAGAAGTTAAGGATCAGGTTAAGGTTAGTAGATCTTCAGGGAACTTCGCAAAACATAAAAGAAATTCTTAGAAAATCTGCGAACTTTGTTGAAGTTTAGCGAATTACGTAGGAACTTCGTATAATTTCAAAGAGTTGCAGGGAATGTTGTAAACGTTCAGAGAACTTCGGCAACCATTGTTGAAGTTCTGGGAATTTAAACGAAGCTCTGGAAATATCGTAAAAGTTCAGAAAAATTCTTAAAACTTCAGGGATCATCGTATATGAGAACTTCGAAGCAGTTTGTCAGAGAATTTATTTAAAACAAAATTCAATGAACTTTCTGGATATTCAGAAAAATTCTTAGAAAAGGTTAGTGTTCTTCCCGGAAGTTTGGAGAAGCTCATGGATTTTGTGAAATTTTGGTCGAATCAAGAGAGCTTGGAAAATAAATTATGGAGCTTGGAAGAAGTTCAGGGAACATTGTATAAGTTATAGAAAATTCGCACAAGTACAGAAAACGTGGTAGAAATTCAGTTGTAGTTTGAATATACTAAGGAATTATCTTAGAAGTACCGGAAACATCGTGTAGATTGTCACCTCGCTAGTGACAGCGAGTCATCTCACCTCACTCGTGGTACATAATAGGCCTCAGTGTCTATAATTCATCTTGGATTGTCTTTCAAATAACCCTGCTGTTCCACCAGACTTATTTCTGACCGACAAGGAATCAATTTTGACAAACACCTTCTTGAAAATTAGGCGATCAACAACAGATGTATTTTTGAAAATTTTAATTTTATTACATTGTTTTTCCTTTTAATTCTACTACTATTGTATCACCTTCACTTTCACTATCAGTTAAAAAAACAATAGCAGATAAGTATTTCGTTTACTACTTGCAAAATTCTTCATTATCTAGTCATAGTCTAAGTGATAGTGAAAGTGGATTAGTAAAAATGAAAGTGGTACAATAGTAGAAGAATTAAAAGGAAAAACAACGTAATAAGGTATGCAATTATTCTACTATAACGCTCATCAATCAATTCCAGAACAACATGTGAAAAGGGCATACAAGCTTTTTGTAAACAAACCTTTGTAGGCCCTTTTCTCACCAACCGAGGGTCGCTCACGCAAACCAGCAATATCATCGGAAAGGGGAAAGTTTCCTCTACCCGGTGATGTTAAAGGTTTGCGTTGGTGTCATATGGGTGGCGAGAAAAGGGCATAAGAAGGTTTGTTTACAAAAAGCTTGTATGCCCTTTTCACATGTTGTTCTGGAATTTACATTTTAATTTATTTTCGTAGTGTCAAATTTAAGTAAAAGGTAATCAAATGAAACCCAGCCTTCGTGTCGCTCCCGTGGAATTGCTCGTATGCAACTTCTGATCTTGCAAATAATAATCTACTCAAACATTAAACAACAAATCTTTGTGAAATCTTTGCTCAGGTTTTTTATTAAATTATTAACAGCTTATTGCCCCGTAACGTGGGTAGATCACCTTTTCGTGGTACGTTACGGGTTGTAAGATCTACCACATCGAACGTTGGCCCTAAGCTCTTCTTGTTGACGGTTATGAACCTCGGTTTTGAGATTGGAAACAAGAAAAGGTTCGGACCAGAGTTCCGATGCATGGTCAAATATTAGTATCCGTCGCTTGTTTTTTTTTCACTTAGTAAGAAAACCTATTTCGATTGGTGAGAAGGCACATATTTGAAAATCCCAGAATTTCGCAAAGATACGGAGCATCAGTATTGAATAAGGATTCATATGAGACCCATTTGAATTATTTAGAGGTCTCAGAACTCTTCAAATAATACTCGTGAAAATTATTTTGATTGATGGGATAATGAAGTCTTTGGAAAGGTCTCAGAACGCTTCGAATGATACGAACATCACTGTTAGTTGACACAGAGATTCTTGTGAGAAGATCAAGTACACGGCCAATGAGATCGACCTAAATTTGAATTCAATTTACTCATAAATCGCAAAAAGTGCAGGAACTTAGCGCTGAATTAATTTTCCTGAGTTTTTCCAGGAAAAAATCCCGAATATGAGAAATGTCAAGATTGGATTCACTCAGTCTATTGGTACTACTTCCAGACAGAGTACAATTTTCCTAATTTTCCGGCAGATTTTTTAAGTGTTCCACGGGAAAACATGAGGCAAATTTAATCATCGCTGAGTTCCTGCACTTTTTGCGATTTACGAGTAAATTGAACTCAAATTTGGGTCGATCTCATTTGCCGTGTATGATATAACTGTATCGAAAACGAATACCTTATTATTTTTCCATAGCAATGAGGTACTACAACAAGCACTTAACAAAGGACATGTACATATAACAAAAGATCAATTAATTTGGGCGCAGTAATTGTGACTCGAACGGACATCTTATTACAACTTATATCGGACAATGTTTCCCTTCCCATGGACATGGAGGTTGACGGTACTGAAGCAAAGGGTTATGTTTAATCTCTTTATATTTGCAACGATGATGATTTCCCATAATGCCACATATCACCAATATCAATAATAAATTTACGAATGACTGTAATTTGGATACCTAACAATTGGACAGAATCAGTAGCAAGAATAGGTTGCGGAGTGTTCGCCTTCGAAAAATTCGATACGTTTTTCAGGGTTGTAGTTTTGGTTTTCATCAGTGGTCCGGCTTTGGTTGTGAACGATTTAGGTAGTATTTTTAGGTAACTATTTAGCTTTTAGCACAACTTTGATTCTACGAATCCACAAAAGACATTGAATTGGAGGCGGATTCTGGTTTGAAATTACAGGCTGCTATTTTGAGCAACTTATCGGCATAAAATTAAAAAAATATATTTAGGCAGGGGAAATGGCTCTTATGTTGGCCTGACATATGGATATTTTTGGCCGTTATTGAAAATTTAGTCGATTGCTGAATTTATGTATGGGCCCAAATTAGGGGCATTTAGGCCGACATTACATCTATTTCCCCTATTAGTCAACAAATGTGGATAGTAAGTTAATCATGTTATGGTATAAACTTTTGCTATCATTATTAACAGGTAAATATATTACTATATTTCACTGCCATTACTGTTAACACTATCACTGCAACTAATTCAATTGACCTGCATTGCACGATTCAGCATGAACAGTGTATGGGAGGTTGGTTGGGGCATGTGGTTCATTTTAGGCATTATAGTTTGACGTGATAACCATGTTTCACTCACGTTCTGGAATGTGCCCTTGAGACTTGAGATCTGGCCTTCATTACTGACCCCCTTCTGTCTCGCAAAACCAAATTATATCGGGCAATATTTCGTGGAAGAGATTTTTATGAATGCTGCTTACATACCTTCACACAAATGAATATAGAGCCTGTAGGCTGCAGCGCAAAGACCCTCATTAGTGCAACCTAGCTGACGGATTTCTTTGAGCTGAAATGGAAAAAAAATCCTATTTATTTTTTTCCGTGTGAGCGTTACGTGCAATATTCAAAATAAAAATGCATGAATGCAGTATATTCGAATGCATAACGGGTAAACAAAACGAAAGCTGAGGCAAGCTACCACAACTTTTGAACCAAACTTACTCAATACAATTAATTACAAAGCTAAATACCATTGTACTTACAATATTAAATATGGGAACGGCACTTTCCATCGAATTCAAATTGAAGAATCTTGGTCATGAAATAATTCAATCAAAATTGATTGCTATTAGTATGATTGTTGGGTAAAATTGTTTTGACTTCTTTTCTCGGTTTGACACATCACTGTCTCGCACGTTCCCCGGGCGTTACGGCGTTATCAGTTGGTTTTGAGGCAAAAATGTTGCACACAATATTGTGTGCAATTTTGAAATAATAAACATTAGGGTGGGTCAACTTTACAAGCCCCCGGTCTTCCACTGCTCTGCGATCTGTATTGAGATCTCGAACAACGGTTTCAGATTTGAACGATTTGCGGGAGAGCTTTAAAGTTTGTATGGGAAAATGTATTATAAATTTGCAGTTTGATATCAGCAAGATCCAGAGAAACTGTTTGCGAAACCTTCTTCCTTGATTTTTCATGCTAGTACGTAGCAACTCGCTTGTAGTAGAAGGAATCCAATTATTTCTTAACTTTGGGTGGGTCAAACAAAAATTAATTTTAATTAATTAATTTAGGGGAAATGGCTCTAATGTTGGCCTATGGATCTAAGATTGGGCTCATCGCTAAAAATCTGCTATTTACCAATTGTATCTAGATGAACGCGTCTGTGGGACGGTTCTAATGGATATTTTTGGTTGCTATTTAAAATTTAGTCGATTGCTGAATTTATGTATGGGCCCAAACTAGGGACACTTAGGCCGACATTACATACATTTTCCCCCATTTAAATTGAAAATACGTTTTACCTCGCTTTATTCAAATTTAAATTTACATAAACGCGAAAAAAAAGGTAACGATAATAACGTAAACAACAAAGTGTCGTGTCATTATGTAATTTGAGCACTTTGAAACGTTCATCATTGGAAAGGCCGCTGCATTTAACATCTTATTTTTACACCAGCTCTAAATGATGGGTAGCAAATAAGCAATCAGGTATAAATTGTCAAGTTGGTAGAGAGTTTTCGAGTAATCGGGTATAAATGAAGGACACCATGCTTCCATTGCTTCATTCATTGTACTTTTCAGCTATCGAACGGAAGCATATGGGAAGTTATTGAGGTGAGAGATAGTGAAGTGTGGATTTAATGTTGTAGATCAGACGAATTCATCTTTTAAACTATTTTCAGAGGAGTCGACCTTGCAGATCGCAATTCGTATGTCTGGTTTTGTAACAATGCAACCGTTTCATGTTTCATCAATCCTACGAACCTCCCTTGAAACTGATTACGGGATTGTAGCGAAGGAAGACAGCATATGAAGAATAATGTTATTATTTATAACTAAGTGGTGGTAAATAACTACATGATAACATAATAAATAATTACAAAATATTTTTTAACATCCAGAATCAGTTTTCTGATCTATCGCGGCTGTCTTCTGAATTCCTTTGACAATCCTTCATCATCCTGTCTGTGGAGGCTCCGCTGTCAAATATTATTGGCAGATCTTGGAAAATGCATCAAATTTTCTATAAGAATTGATCAATAGTAGCTCAAAACGTTTTCGTGAGTAAATCGTAGAACATCAACTTTTAATCATATTTTTAAACTTTTTGTTAACAAGCTTTTTATGCCATTTTTGCACAGATAACGAGTTCTTTCCTGTGTAGAAATTACATGAAAATCGACTTTTTTTTAAAGTTAAAAATGATCTTTATTTCTTGAATTTGTGTGGTTTACATGTATCAATTTTCAAGTGACACAGATGCGTCTTTTCAACTTTAGTACATTTGAGATTTTAATTACTATTTATAGTCCTATCAGGCCTGTACGTTTTTTGCTCAGATCTCCAGTCCTCTGAAACTGGCGTCTACACATTTCTCAAGCAAATCAAGTAATTGGGTGTGGGAACCAATGGCAATGGCAACAAACTTACCCCTCACACGTCTCGTCAGCCACGGATATGGGGCCTGATGGAGGCCTTCCAGTGTCCGGTCGATGTCAAGCGGCGGATTTTCATCGATGTTTCTGTCAACCACATTCCCAAACTGCACCCAGTTGACATGATGGTAGTCTTTGCGCAGGCTTTGAGCAGGTGCCACGTTGGTGCCGACTTCAGCCACCACCGGTTGGTGGTCGGAGCTGAGATCGTTGATCACCATCGGTTTGGATAGTCCAATGTTCGATAGAAAAAAGTCCAACGTGGAAGGGTTTACCGCCGGAGAGATGAATGTCGGTTCATCAGGAAATTTCACTGTATACAGCCCAGGCTGCGAGTGGTCGAAGAGCAGACGTCCGTTCTGATTCCGCTGATAGTTCCGCCATGCTTCGTGGTGGGCATTTAAATCGCCCCCAATGACGAATCGTGAGCTCGTGCGAGTGATGGTGGTCAGGTCAATCTTGAATTGGATGCCTAATCCATTACTGGCAGCACACTGACGAGGGCAGTATACGGCGATGAACCGGACGGTTCCGGTTGGTGATTCCACCTCGATGATAGAAGTGCGGATATGCGGCACCGTGCAAAACTTGATTCCTTTCTTGTTGGTGATCGCAACACCACCCCCCCCTGGAGTCGAAACGATCAAGCCGGATAATGTGGTGATCAGGCAGCCAAAAACTGTCACCGGATTTAAGATTGGTCTCTGTTAGGTGGCCCACGTCGATACTTTGCTTGCGGAGGAAGTCAGCAAGCTCGAGTCTTTTTGCTCTTACAGAGCATGCGTTCCATGTGACGACAGTTATCGGTTCAGACACCATACTGAATAATAAACTTACCGAGCACTTGGATCTGTTCGGGCTTGCTGCGGCACTGACGAAGAGCGCTGGTCATGTCGACGAAAATCTTCATCAGCTCATCCGCAGAGAAGAGATCGGGATTGACGTTTTGTGCTGGTGGTTGTCTCCAGACTCCAGGGGGGGGATGGGGAGCTTTGTCCAGCAGAAGCACCATACGTTTCTTGACGGGGGCCGAATTGCACCCGCGGTTTTGCTGGACCGTGTTGCGTAGCAGCAAGAGGTGGGAAATCCTTCACTCTGAATGCCGGCGTATTGTCCTTCTTTCGTCCTGGTTGATTTCTTGTGGACGACTGCTTTCGGATCCGCTTGAAATCTTTGCGTTTGGGGCACTGTTTGTCGTACCCTTGATGAACTCGTCGACAACACACTCGGAGGAGACATGGTTTTGGGCGCATTTGTCACAGCGCGGCTCATGTTTGCAAAATTGCAAGCATCAGAAGGTTTGGCGCTGCGTGGTTTGATTGTTTCTCTCGGACCAGAAATTTGTGGCATCGTGAGTGAAAATTTTGAAAGAGCTTGACACGATCGGTGTTGAGTAAGTAAGTTTTTTCGAATGACATTGATATCGAAAGTGTACCAAAAGTGCTTCTGAACGTGTTTCGCAGTTGGGTGTGGTGAAATTCGCGGTTGTTTTCAGTGAAAATTCCGTATCACAAATTTGCTCACCGAGTTCCCTTTTTTTTGCCGTTCGACGACATCGGGAATGCGCTCCCGGATATATTGATTTGGTGAGTACGTTCCAGTTGAGGATTGTTCTTGTACATTTCTCGATTGCATTTTCGAGGGGACGTGTCTGCTTTTGTGGGCAGTGCGTTTGATGGTCGGTTTGGTAGTATCCTTTTCAATATAATGTCTAATGTCCAAATAACCTCGATTTTCGGTCTATTGATTCAATACTTTAGTATTATATTTTCAAAACATACAATGATGCATTATGTCATTTCATGGCACATAAAACAAAAAGTGTGTGTATAGGACCCAATAATCTAGGTTATTTGTATTTTGTAAAACATCTTTATTTTTTATTATATTTTTTATTTTATTACATATTTTAAGTACATTATATATTACATGATTATATATAAATTCATAATGTAAATTACAGTAAATACTGGGACGGGAGGGAGCATCAGGGCATCATTGAAGTTGTAACTGGACAATGGAGTGGAGTGCCAACCGGAGTCTAGGAGGGAATGTGTACTGTCATTTTAGATAGTTACATTTCACTCCAACAGTTGCAATGAATTTGACGCGCTCTTCTTAAACAAATCATCCCGTGGAAAGCTTAACATGCATTGCGAATTTCGTTATTCATTTTGTTGGATCATATTGTTGGAAGGAGATTCTCTTATTCCCGCGGGTTTCGCGTAAGTGCCTATGCTTACGGGCCCGTCCAACCCTTTTTGGCCCTTCATACAGCAGTATGTTGAATTCAGAATGATGACGGAATTTGATCTTGCTGTTGAGTGGAGCCGCATGCAGGGCAAGACCCAAGCTAGGATGGTGGCTACTTACATACATACATACATTTGTCACAGCGCGGCTTGACGAAGCAGTTTCGGGTGCCGTCCCTAATAAAAAATAACCATAAACGAACGATAACCCAAATCATTGAACTATTCCATAAATGGTTTGGATGATACCCAGAACACGTCGTTAAGCAAATTAACCATACAATTTTTATTAGGGGTGCCCAAAATTCAGGCAACGCTGACACTGGGTGACGTCGTGACGGTCGCGACGGTATGGCTCCCATCGACCAATGATGGAATTGATGCAACGGATTGCCTTCAACGCATTGAGAGTCACCGTTCCCTTCTGAAAATGCACCAGGAAAAGGCAATCCGGATACTTATTGACGTTCTCGTCCCTCCTTGTCATCCAAAAGACGGCAGTTGGGGCTAGCTTGTAGCGATTCTTGATTTCCGCTTCGATCAACTTCGGGTCAAAGTTCGGTAGACCCCTGATGACGACCTTGAATGGTTTCTCACCGGGAATGTCGTGGGTGAAGAATTCCACCTTGGAAGTCCTCAGGTGGGCGACGACCAAGTCATACTCCGCTTTCGTACGGAACATCACCTTGGTGCCGACTCTGCCCAACTTGAATTCGGCTTTAACGCCCAGCGACGCCAGATCTGCGATGAGATCGTTAAGATGTGCATTTTTTACTACCAACGGAGGTAGCTTTACTTTTGCCGTGCTTATGTCGGCAACGTCACCGAAATCTCCGACATCACTGCCGTTCGTCGCAGTGGCATCGTCGCAAGAAATCGTGCAATCGGACTGGCCTCGATTCTTCTTCCTCTTCTTATTCCGCTTTCCTTTTG